TGAACCACTTGTAGTACCGGTCTTGAGCCTCAGGTGTTAGGAACCTGGTACTGTCAAAAACAGTTGAGGTCCGAGGCCTCTTGGTGCCAGCAGCACTACTTTCCCCAGTTTTCTTGCCTCCTATGCCAGGTGCTTTGGAGGTCTTTTTACCCTTGTTACCCTGCACTCAGAAAAATTCCAACACAATAGAATTCAAGTATATGCACATTAGAAAGGTACCAGTTAGTAACAGACTTAATCAACATCAGATGATAAATCAATTGCAATTTAGAAACAGAAGCAATCAATCTGGAATATGAACATCAACAACAACAGAATCCATTTGTATCAAGAAAGCTATCTAGCAGATCAGAAAACCAACAACTAATTCCCAGATTTATCTTTTACAATCATTCTTGTCAGTATGTTTCAACATGTATTGTTCAAAAGATGTAACAATTAATTCATCAGATGTCACTTTACTATTCAAATTAGAACAAAGAATATTCAATGGCATAATATAGACAAAATGATAATCTCCCTGTGTGCTCACAATGTGACAATTCATCACTTCCATGCAGCATATGGAAAATAATGTGTAAACACATACACATGCCCAACCATCATCCTCTAATTCCTTATTAGTCTAACAAGTGAATGATCAACATTAAGAGAGCATAGGAACAACTGATCATAACTTCAGCATCCTACTCAAATCTGGATCATTTTTCAACTTCAACAAATGGTGTCTTAGAATTCAATTTGCAGAAAACATTTTTCAATCAACTTATGACAGAGTCAGGCTATATGCATAAGCATTCAGTAAAGAGACAGATCAAATATCGCACATAAATGTCCTTGTCCCTGATTCATCCACATAAGTACAAATTACTCGAGACAGAAAAAATATCAAACATTTGGCATGCATTAGCACATTGGGAATGCTTTAAACAGTTCATTTCAAATTTCCACAAGAATTTCCAACACAGACATCAAGAAAATCAACATGCTAGCACAGTGGAGTATTGAGTTCAGATTTACCCTACACTTGCAATCATCATCGAGTAAGAGGAAATAAAGGTAATCGATGGTTACCTTGTCTCCTGCTATTTGATGGATTGAAGAATTGCAAGAAAAATCTAAGAACCCTAGCTCTGAACAGTCGTTCAGAAAATCCTTAAATGCCCACTTAAAATCAGAACCCAAGCTTGTGACAGCCACCAATACGCGATAGTGAATGGGTTTTGGAATCAGTTGTGGTCGATGATGGTGGTTGAGTGGGTTTGTGTAAAGGAGAGTGGTGAAGGTGATGGTCGGTGAGATCGAGCGAGAGAGAGAGGGATGGTGGTGGTGTACGGTGGTTATGGGTGGTGTGTGACGGTGCTAAAATGGTGTACGGTGGAGGTCGGTTTATTGAGAGAGAAAGAAAGTGATGAGAGGGAGAGAGAAGAAGGATGGTGGTGAAGGCTGAGTGAGGGGGAGAAATGGAAAAAAAAGGGCTTGTAGGGTTTTAAAATTAAAATCTGGTTTTTGAATCTCACGCTGACAGCGTCAACACCACGCTGATAGCGTGGTTCTCTCTAAATGATCACGCTCTTGGCGTCAAAACCACGCTGACAGCGTGGATGCCATTTTTGAATTTCTCACGCTTCCAGCGTGGGTCTCATGCTTACGGTGTGGAGCTTCCTGTTTCCCCACGCTAAGAGCGTCAATTCCACGCTGATAGCGTGGGACTTCTTTCATATTTTTCACGCTTAGAGCGTGGATATGACGCCAGTAGCGTCAGTTCAAAGTTCCCAGCTTGTTATTCTCTAACCTAAAATAAAATCAAAATGACTAAACTAACTCCTCCTGCTGGGTTGCCTCCCAGTGAGCGCTTGTTTAACATCACGAGCCTGACTGGAACCGTTTAAGATTCAGGTGAAGCCAAAGGGACAAAAATTGTGTCCCTATTCACATGTTCTCCATGATAGAATTTTAATCTACTCCCATTGACATTGAATGGTCTTTCAACATCGAGAGGGGAGATTTCAATCGTACCATATGGAAATACTTTTTTCACAATAAAAGGACCAGACCAACGAGATTTGAGTTTACCTGGAAAAAATCTCAGTCGAGAGTTGTATAGTAATACCTGTTGTCCGGGCACAAATTCCTTGTGCTGAATCTTCCTGTCGCGCCACTTCTTTGTTTTATCTTTGTAGATTCTGGCACTCTCATACGTAGAATTTCTAAACTCATCAAGCTCACTCAATTGAGCCTGTCTTTTCTCCAAAGCTTTTGTTGAATCGAAATTTAGGAATTTGATAGCCCAAAAAGCTTTATGCTCCAACTCCACAGGTAGATGGCAAGATTTTCCAAATACCAACTGATAAGGTGACGTACCAATAGGGGTTTTGAAGGTAGTCCTATATGCCCACAAAGCATCATCCAGCTGCTTAGACCAATCCTTCAAGGAGTTCCCAACGGTCTTCTCAAGAATCCTCTTCACCTCTCTGTTAGAGACCTCCACTTGTCCGCTGGTTTGAGGATGGTAAGGTGTAGCAACCTTATGTTTAACACCATACTTAACCAGTAAGTTATCAAACTGTTTGTTGCAAAAATGAGTCCCTCCATCACTGATTATTGCCCTTGGTACACCAAATCTTGTGAAGATATTATTTCTCAAGAAATTGACAACCACCTTAGCATCATTAGTGGGAAGAGCAACAACCTCAACCCACTTAGAGACGTAGTCAACAACAACAAGGATGTATTGATTGGAATATGATGAAGGAAATTGCCCACACATCAAAGAGCTCTACCTCTAATATATTATTCAGAGGCATTTCATCTTTGCGGGAAATATTGCCCACTTTTTGGCATCTGTCACATCTTTCAACAAAATCCCTTGCATGCTTGAATAACGTAGGCCAATAGTAACCACTCTGTAGAACTTTTTGAGCAGTTCTATTGCCTCCAAAGTGTCCTCCGTAGTCAGATGCATGGCAGTGCCACAGGATCTCATGAACTTCAAATTCGGGCACACACCGTCTTATAATTCCATCAACACACTGGAAATACAAGTAAGGATCATCCCAACGAAACTTCCTTACATCTCTGAGGAACTTCTTCTGTTGTTGCCTTGTAAGATTGGGAGGCAACTCTTTTATCACCTTGTAATTGGCAATATCTGCAAACCATGGAGGTACGAATATCACCATTACTCTTTCATCAGGAAAATGGTCATTTATTTCCTTCTCAGGACCATCTTGTAGTTCTTTTTCCTGAATTCGTGACAAGTGATCTGCCACCTTGTTCTCCACTCCAGCTTTATCCCGGATCTCCATGTCAAACTCTTGAAATAAAAGCATCCATATAAGCAACCGAGGCTTTGCATCCTGCTTATTCATTAAATACTTGATAGTAGAGTGGTCAGTAAACACAATAACCTTGGACCCCAACAGATAAGATCTAAATTTGTCTAATGCATATACTACTGCTAGCATTTCCTTCTCAGTGGTGGCATAATTTACTTGTGCCTCATTTAAAATTTTGCTAGAATAGTATATAACATGTAACAATTTATTCCTCCGTTGTCCAAGGACTGCACCTATAGCATAGGCACTAGCATAACACATAAGCTCAAAGGTTAATCTCCAATCAGGAGCTACTAAAACGGGAGCTGTGGTGAGCTTTTCTTTTAACAGATTAAAAGCTTTAAGACATGCATCACCAAATCGAAATTCGAAATCTTTTTCTAAAAGTTGGCTTAAAGGTTTAGCTATTTTAGAAAAATCTTTTATAAATCTCCTGTAAAACCCAGCATGTCCTAGAAAACTTCTAATACTAGTCACATTATTAGGGGGAGGTAATTTCTCAATTAACATCAATTTAGCTTCATCTACCTCAATCCCTTTTCCAAATATCTTATGTCCTAAAACAATTCCCTCTTGTACCATAAAATGACATTTTTCCCAGTTTAGTACAAGATTTGTTTCTTGGCATCTTTTTAACACATGAATTAAGTTTAGCAAACATAAATCAAAGCAAGAGCCAAAAACAGAAAAGTCGTCCATAAATACCTCCAGGTTTTTCTCCACCATGTCAGAAAAGATGGAGAACATGCACCTTTGAAATGTAGCAGGTGCATTACATAGACTGAATGGCATTCGTCTATAAGCAAAAACTCCAAAAGGGTAGGTGAAAGCTGTTTTCTCTTGGTCCTCCGGTGCCACTGGAATTTGGTTGTATCCAGAATATCCGTCCAAGAAGTAGTAATAGTTGTGACCTTCCAATCTTTCCAACATTTGATCAACAAAAGGAAGTGGAAAGTGGTCCTTCCTTGTAGCTGTATTTAGTCTTCGGTAGTCCACACACATTCTCCAACCAGTAATGGTTCTAGTTGGAATCAACTCATTTTTCTCATTGTGAACTACTGTGATACCTCCCTTTTTCGGAACAGTCTGCACTGGGCTCACCCAAGCAGTATTCGAAATTAGATAAATCATGCCAGCATCAAGAAGTCTCACAACTTCTTTCCTTACAACTTCCTTCATTGTTGGATTAAGCCTCCTTTGAGGCTGTCTCACTGGCCGAACCTCATCTTCCATGAGGATTTTATGTGTACAGAATGAGGGATTAATACCCTTTAAATCAGAAATTGACCACCCTATGGCAGTCTTGTGTTCTTTCAACACCTCAACCAGTTTTGTCTCTTGTTCAGAAGACAATCCCTTGTTAATGATAACGGGGTAAGTCTCCTTCTCACCCAAGAAGATATACTTGAGAGTTTCTGGAAGCTCCTTCAACTCTACCTTTGGTGTACCATCTTCCTTGTCAGAATCTTTTGTTTCAAGGACTTCAAATAACTCATTTTTTTCTTCCTTGAAAGGAACAATTTCATGCACCTGAAGCTCTTCCTCAGATTGTTGAATGGAAAATACTTCTTCTTCCACTACTTGATCTAGAATATCAAGACGAAAGCAATCACCTTTATCAGAAGATTGTTTCATAGAGTCAAAAACATTGATGGTGATGGTCTAATTATTCATTCTTAACTCTAACCTGCCATTCTCAACATCAATCATGGCTCGAGCAGTCGCCAAGAAAGGTCTTCCCAATAATAGGGGCATTTCAGTACCCTCTTCCATATCTAATACCACAAAATCAGCTGGGAAGATGAACTTATCCAACTTAACAAGCACATCTTCAATAATACCACTTGGTCTCCTCAAAGATCTATCAGCGAGTTGTAGAGAAACCATAGTGGGTTTTAACTCAGTAATTCCCAGAGATTTACAAACAGATAATGGCATCAGATTTGCCCCAAGATCGCATAGTGCTCTGCCAACATCAGTGCTACCGATAGCAATTTGAATATTGAAGCTTCCCGGATCACTGAGTTTAGATGGGAACTTCTTTTGTATAATGGCATTACACTCTTCGGTGAGTGTTACTGTTTGGCACTCCTGTAGCTTATGTTTCCTTGACAACAAGTTCTTCATGAATTTTGCATAATTTGGCATGCCAGCCAAGGCTTCAGCAAAAGGAATATTTATATGCAACTTCTTGAAGATATCCAAGAATCTTGCATACTACTGTTTCTGAGCGTCTTTTTTAAACCTTTTTGGGTAGGGTGCCATAGCTCTCACATATTTTGGCTTCAGCTCGAATTTCTTTTTCTCAGCAACAATTATTTGTGTCTCCTCTTCCTCACCTTTTTGAACAGGTGTCTCAACATCAGAAGGAATAACCACTTCTTCCTCTACCTTCTTACCCTTTCTAGTAGCTTCCGCATTTGTGGTTGGCTTTGTTGGAGCTACCACCACCTTGCCACTTCTTGTAGTTATAGCCATACAATTATCGTTTGGATTAGTGACTGTATTGCCAGGGAAAGTGCCTGGAGTTCTTTCGGCCATCTGTTTAGCTATCTGGCCAATCTGGTTCTCCAAATTTCTGATAGAGGCTTGTGTATTTCTAGTGTTTGCCCGAGTCTCTTCCATAAAAGCATTGGAATCTTGGGCCATTTGTCCCACTAGCTTCTCTAACTCAGAAGGTTCCTTCGGTTGAACTGGCGGTGGCTGCAAATAGTTATTGGACTTGAAGTCAATACCAGTACCTTGCACCCTCCTTTGGAAGTTATTGTTCCCAGAAGGAAAATTCTGAGTTCTTGGAACATTTTGTGGTGAGGGTCTCTCATCATACCACACACCATTTACATGTACCTGCTGAGGAGGATCATCGGCTAGCAGAGTAGGACATTCGTTGGATTATGATCTTCCTTGCAATATTCACAAACAACTGCTGCAGCTTGAGCTTGAACGCTAGAAAATTGCATCTTATCAAGCCTTGATGTCAAGTTTGCTACCTGCTGAGATAACAAATTGTTTTCAGCCATCACCAGATCATTGCCTTCCAGTTTAAGGATACCTCTTTTAGGCTTGGATGATATCGCTTGGTTTTCGTTGTCAGCCATCCTCTCAATCAACTCAAGAGTCTCATTTGCTCTTAGAGTTTTAATAGTGCCCCCTGCTGCACCATTTAGCACCATCTGAATCTCTGGTTTGCAACCATTGAAAAAGATTCTAACCTGACTACCAGCAGTCAAGTTATACTGAGGACATCTTCTTATCAAGTCCTTGAACCGGTTCTATGCTTCACACATTGATTCACCCTCTGATTGAGTGAAATTGGTGATATCATTCACCATCTGGTTATACTTCTCCATCGAGAAGAACTGAGCAAAGAACTTTTGTGATAAATCATCCCAGGTTGATATGCTTGCTGCAGGCTGCCTTTCCAACCAACTAAGAGCCTTTCCTTTAAGAGCAAAAGGAAATAGTCTCAGCCGGACTGCATCATTAGACACTTGAGGATGTTTTGTAGAATCACATATCATCAGGAAGCTGTTTATGAATCTATGAGGGTCTTCATCATCCTCTCCACCAAACTGAGCTCTCTCCACCAGTCGAATATTATCGGACTTGAGCTCCCAATGATTGTTGCCCACTTCAGGATGGACAATGCTCACATTGGGTCTGTTGAATAATGGAGTCAGAATAGTGTCCATGAGTGGATTGTCAGCATCATTGTTGTTTGTCGTTTTATCTTCTTCTAGAAGAATATCTGACTCGTTGAATGCAAGCTTCTTCCGAGCAAATTTCCTGTTTTTCTTCTCTGTTTTTGTGATCTCCAAATCAAGTGGAAACTCGGGCTCTTTACCTCGCATACAACTTAGAAAAAAGATTAGTAGCACTTGTTCCAAATATCACAAAAAATTTAAAAATAAAAATAAAAATCCAATCTTAAAATCAAAATCAATTGATATAAGATACGCCAATCCCCGGCAACGGCGCCAAAAGCTTGATGCTTCCCGACAAGTATACCGATCGCACAAGTAATAAAGTGGTAAATAATGTTCGTCTCCACAGGGATTGTGATCTTATATTAATTAATATTCCTTTAAAGAATGGATGAGTTCAAATGGTTTTGACAAATATTGTCAATTGGTGTGAATATGAGGACTAAAAATAAATACTTGTTTTTGTGATTTTTCTGTGATGAAGAATGAGATTGTAAACAACAATGAGAAGAGATTTGTAAATATGAGAAAAATATTGTAGCTAGAGCGCACTCACCTTATGATCCCCACTTCTTACTTTGGATTGATTTACAATATTCATTTATAAAACTACTCGGATAAATTATTATCTAAAATAATTAGTTAAATCCCAATCCCTTGGCAATTTAACCCTTTAATTTCAATTGGAATCCTAATCCCTTAGCAACCCCTCATGAAAATTAAGCGATGAACTCTATAATTTAGGCATCCGCAATTCAATACACATCTATTCCTAGCATGCATACGAACCGTTATCCTACCCCCTTTCAGGATGAAAACCCCAATATCCCTATCTAGGGTTCTAACCCTCAGACTATTATCAACTATTAGAGTGATCAATTCTAATAAAGAAAATATAAAATACGAACAGGGTAGAGATAAAGATAATTATATAAACGAGCAATTATAAATCAATCCGCGTAACAAGGGTTCACATAGGGTTCGTGACCCTAACTACAATAAAAAAAAACTTAGCCAACCATATTCATGGCTAATAAATCAATATTCAATGGGATGAAAGAATGAAAGATGATCAAGAATCCTTCTCCTTCAGCATGACGGTCTCCTTCGGTCTAGATACCTAATTCTGTGTTGGGCCTCCTTTTTATAATACTCTTTTAGGTCTTCCAAATTTACCCTTTTGGACAAAACAGAATTGCAGTATCGCACACTGATGCTCTCAGCGTCAGATCCACGCTGTGGGCGTGGAAGCCTCTGGTTCTTCACGCTACCAGCGTGACATCCACGCTGTGAGCGTGGGTCTTTACTTTGGCAAATCCTCATTTTGCTCCAGATTTGTTTGCTTTTCCTACAAGTTAAGCATAAAATCAGTTGAACAATTCTGAAATTGGAATTTAAGCAAAGCAACACTGAACGTTGCCATTTTACTGAGAATTAACCCATAATCTTTCTCTTTTTGGCTTGAATTTATCCATGTGCTGAAGGCGCATCAACCTTCTACTCAGTCTTTATCTTACTAGGGTTGCGTGTTGGCTAATTACTGTTTTGCTCTTTCTTTGTATTTTGGCCTTATTTTCAGGATTTTCGCTAATCCTTCCCTTTAATTCTCATTTAATATATTAGTATTTAAACTTAGAAATACAAGATGATATATTCGCCCCACCTTTTAGAATTTTGTCTGCAAAATTAAATCATACATGTCCGCTAACTCAGGATACAACCGGAGAATGTCATCCTCCCATTCCCAAGTAGCCTCCTCAGGTGTACGTCCTTCCCACTGAATCTTTGGCATTGGAATATCTTTGCTTCTAAGCCTCTTTTCACTGCGATCGAGGACCTCAATAGGACCTAAATTAGTCTTTAAATTTTCTCTAATCTCAATGTCATCCGGTATCACCACATGTGATTCATCCAGAATATAGCGCTGCAGCTGCGATACATGAAAAACATCGTGCAAATTTGACAATTGTGGGGGCAAGGCAAGCTGATAGGCCACTAACCCTACTCTTTTCATTATCTGATACGGCCCAATAAACCGAGGACTCAGCTTCCTCACGCCCAATGCACGTCCAACACCCGTAACTGGAGATAACCGCACAAATACATGACCACCTTCTTCAAATTCCAGCGGTCTGTGTCTATTATCATAATAACTTTTCTGCCGATTCTGTGCCTGTTTAAGTTTTTCTCTGATCATTTCAATATGTACTATAGTTTCTTGCACAAAATCCTGCCCAAATCTCTCTTTATCACCTAACTCAGTCCAACAAGTAGGAGTACGACATCTCTGTCCATACAATGCCTCATACAGTGCCATGCCCAGACTGGAGTGAAAACTGTGATTATAAGAAAATTCCACCAGTGATAAATACATGTCCCAAGCAGTGCCCTGCTCCAATGTCACTACAAGAAAAGTGGCTTTTGCCGTCGGATTATTTTAGGCGGTTACCACTAAACCGCCTCAGAAGATACAATTCAGGCGGGTAACCAGGCAGTTAACAAGGCCGACGACTTTTGGTATCACACACCGTCAGAATTCGTGGCTTTATATCGTAACCGCCTTTGTTTGAATATATTTGGAGGCGGAATGTCTGGCGTTTGGGTTTGACCGCCCTAAAATTTGAGCAAACGCAGGCGGTTTAGACGTCGGATCTGGGAAATAGTCGTCGATTTCTTGTTAAACAAAGGCGGTTATTATTTAACCGCCCAAAAATGATGTTCGGAGGCGGTTTATGTAGGCGGTTTCAGTAAACAGAGGCGGATGTATGAATTTTGAGATTCTTGATATTTTGAATAACTTCCTGGTTCTTTGTATTCATTAAATGAAAATTAATACCATTTAGAGTCTTACGATCAACGTTATTCAGTTGTAGATTTTCCGTTTCTATGGATTTAAAAGAGAGAATGTGAGATTGGAGAGAAGGAAAAATTGACAATAATAGAAATACATTGAATTTAAAATTGATAATCTGTTTGGCGAAGGAGAAAAAAACTGATAATCTAATAGGTGTCACTTGTTTTGTAGTTAGGGCATCCATAGAACATCCTTCGTGGATTCTTTGGTCTTCGAGACATACGCAACACAGCCGCTTCTCCACAGTCACAGAACTTTAGCTTCGATGTTGATAAACATGAAGATTGCCCGGAATAATTTGATCATGACCGAATAATTTTATCAATTTGTATGTCATACCCTAACCCTAACCCTGACTCTGACCGTAACCCTCACCCTAACCCTGAACTTGACCCTGATCCTAAATGTAACCCTAACCCTAACCCTAACCTTAACATGTATGTTTCTGATTTTGGCTCTTTTTCGTTCAGTTTAATTGTGTGACGCAATGAGTGCTAGACGCGTTTCAAAGCTGCCAGTGGGGGAAACCGAGCGATTGAACGAGTGAATGACTGATTCACGGCCATTACATGTTAGTATACAAAAATCATAGATAGTATAAGTAAATTGTATCTAAACCCTATAGTTACGAATGTAAGTTTCACTATCAACTATGAAGCTTTTAACGTTCAATTGACACGGTTGGTGAAGACCTTTCAGTGTTGATATATATAATATACAGTGGCAATTTGTTTTATCCTTTTAAAAAGATTTAAAATTGTATCATTTTAAGTTAAAGACACAAAGTAGTATAATGATATAAGTACGTATATATGTATATTAATATATATACTCATAAATATTCTTACTTATATAAACGTATATTTAACTATTGTATAAGATCGAGTTAACTAGTTGATATACTTGTGTAAACTGATGTGAATACTATGTACACTGTTTATATAATAGAAAAAAAACTATACAATAAATTTAATACCAATTTATTACAATAAATATAGCTTTCGAGTGTAAATTTTTGTTAATATATAATGTTGTATATTCATTTTTACTGAAATTGATTATTAGTGTGTAGATCTTAAATAATTGAATATTAATTTTTGAAAGATTATAATAATAAATAAATATACTTTTGATATTATACAAAAATTATAGTATATAAAGCCAATAGTTTGAAAAAGATATTTGCCGGTTTAATTTTTTTTTTTTTTGGTGAGGAATATTTGCAGATTTTAATTAAAGAATAAAAATGACAACTAAAATGTGTAATATGAAAAAATATTTGTCGGTTGTCATAAAATTTAAAAATATACATTATATGAAAACAACAAAGTAAAACTAAAATTTGCGTGTTAAGGTTATAAAAAATAAAATGTATAATATCACTACTAAATTTACTATAAATTCACATGAGATTAATAATGATGAAAACAAAAATATAAATTAAGTATAAAAAATAATATATATTTAATATTAATATATATGTTTTATTTATTAATAAAACATTTTTTTAATTATGTACTTATATATAGTGTAAATAATAGTACAATATGTGACTAAAATTTTGGTTCAGCGGACTATTTCCCTCGTAAGTGAAATTTTTGTTCCCTCTTACCAACTTGGAACATTTCCCTCCTATGTGAAAGACACTCCTCTCAGAATAACTTATACGCAATTGTCTCCACACTTAGCGATTTTTATTCTGACTGCAACCCTAGACTCCAAATGTGTCCAAATTTGGCTTTTTACCTTTTGGAGATTAAGAATCCAATTTCTTAATCTCTCCCAAATTTCCCCCAAAGCCCTAACCTCTCATTCACAGTGTCTCTTTCACCGTTTGCCCTAATCTGTTATTCAACCAATTTGGGCGAACTGTTCGAAGGTATCATCTCTTCTTCTCCGTCTCTCTTATTCTGTCTCTCATTATCGTTTTCATTTGCTCTCAAAATGTGGTTTGCACCTCTCATTCACAGTGTCTCTTTCACCGTTTGCCCTAATCTGCTATTCAACCCATCTGGGCGAAGTGTTCGAAGGTATCGTCTCTTCTTCTCCGTCTCTCATTAGGGTTTTCCAGGTAAAATTTACTATTTTGTCTCTCATTATCATTTACTCTCAAAATGTGGCTTTGGTATTTTTTTTTTTCGTGTAAGGTTTTGAAGTTTTTTTTGTTTGCTCTCCTATTTTGTCTCTCATTTTTTTTTGTGTAATTTTTTCTACTTTCTTTTTTCTTTATTATTTATTGGGTTATTTATTGTTATCTTTTTTCAGAACATAGTAGTTGAATTTTTTGTTTTTGTTGCATTCTAGAAAGACTAAAAAATGATCAAATAATATGATTCAGTGGTTTGCTAGTAGGAATAGTAGTTCAATTTACTGTATAAGAATAAAGCATGGACCCCATTATCCTAATTCAGTGGCTGTGGTTGTTCTTGTTGGTGTGGGTGTTGTGTGGGAAAATGAGAAGTTGATGGTCATGATTGTAAGAGCTGATAAAGAGAAATCTGGGTGTGTCTGGCAGTGATTTTGGTGTCCCTGAGTTTTCTCTGTAAATTATAATTTATGCAAATTTTGATTGTATTTAGGTATGCTTTAAATTAGTTACTACTTGACTAAGTTCTGATTCGAGAATAACCTCATAGCTGTCTTAAAGAGTTGAAATTTATTAAAATATTTGGAATCTACTCGTCTCAAAGAAGTAATTAGGATCACAGAACTTGGATCAGGTTGATGTCGATGACACAACACCTTTACAATTATCACGACCTTTCACGGATGATGACAATCCAATTGTCCTTGCTAATCTAAACGAGGATGAAGAAATGGAAATATCATAATACTTTGCCTGAATATAGTTATAACTTGAGCAGATTACAATTTTTTTTGGTATTGTATTGTGCTTAAGGTTAAGTGGTGTTTTTTGTTCACATCACTACATCATTTTTTGTGATAAACAACTTATCAAAGTTATTTGCAAGCAAAAATATGTAAACATTATGCTTTAAATAGATCATAATATGTACATGCTGGATGAAATTAAAATGTCTAAAATTCCCAGTACATTCTGATTTGCAGGTATAATATGCGCAAGTTAAAGTAGCATGTTGTTTTTCACTGATTTAAATTTTAAAACAGAAATTGTCATGTTGCTTTTTGCTGGTGTTACTAATTACCTGGGATTTTTATGTTCTGTATCTATAAATATGTATGCTTGCAAACATTCTTATGTAAGCAGGACAATGGCACGTACAAAGAGGTTCACTAAAAGGACCAACTCGACAACCTCCAATGCTAATGAACTCATAAGCAATGAACAAGAACAGAACATAAACGTCCAACTTACGACTGAAGAACTGAATAGTCAGCCACATCACATAGTGGTCCACCAACAAGTTCCTTCTGCTCAATCTGCTGAATCTGCTCCTACACATGCTGCATCTTCATCTGCTCAACCTACACCAGCAATATCTCAATCTGAATCAGTTGGTCGTCAATCTGAGGACTCAAATCCAAGACCACGAAACCCTTCCCAAAGGACATGCAACAAGTATTGGGTTGTTGATGTGTTAGGTAACTCCGTCTGATTTACCTGTATTGCATTCTTATATAATGATATACTTGATTAAACATTCTCACTTATATGTAATTTTCATTTTTGGCACTTGCATTAACAACAATGTAATAGCTGATAATGGAATGGCTGATGAGGAGAGATTACGTGTGCGGGATCTTTTGGTACTTCCTCCTCATAAGAGGGTAGTTCTTGAATGGAATGAAGACAATCAACCTGTTGGGGAGGCTGCTGGCCTATTCGGTGGTTTTTTGGGACACATTGCATGTAACCCTAACATATTCCCTATAAGTTATGCAAGGTGGCCTGACGTACCTAAGATCTACAAGGACGATGTTTGGGTCAGCACTATTAAGGTCAGAATGCTTTTTTTATTTTCAAATAGGTTCCTGTTGTAATTATATTAATATTTACAATTTTTAGCTCACTTTTCTCTTGCAGAAGAGATTCGTTATGGATAATGATGACCACTACCATTATTGTATGGGCAACATGGGTAAGAAATGGAAAGACAATAGGTGGAGACTAGCCAATGAAATATATGAGAAAGATAAAACTTTTCAGGAAAACCTTGATCTTTACCCTGAAGGCATGACAAGAGAACAATGGGCAAGTTTTTTGACATACAAAACAAGTGAGAAGGCAAAGGTAACGAAGGATGCAAAACTGCCTTTGTATGTTGCTGTCACTTGTATTCAAAATTAATATGTTAATTATTTTGTTTCTTCCATCATGCAGAAGTATAGTATTATCAATACTGCAAATAGACAGAAACAAACAATCCCACACACACTTGGCTCAAAGACGTTAGCAAGGAGGAAAAGGGAGCTGGTATGGTTTTATTAAAATGTTTAATCTTTTATTATGTCACTATTTTGCTTCTGTAATTAATGGAAATAATGGGCTTGGTGTCATGGCATTTGTCAGGAGATACAAGAAGGACGCAAATTTAGCAGAGGTGAGATGTATGCTGTTTCTCATATCAAAAAGGATGGCAATTTTGTGAATGAGGAAGCTAGGCTAAAAAATGTATTAACACTTCCTTGTAATTTGTTTTTATATCAATTTCTAGCTTTGAGGTACACTTATACAAGGTTCTCATGCCCTGTATGTAGGATAATTTAATTATAGAGATGGATAAAGCCAATTTCGAAGATGAGGCTTTTGTAAATGTGTTTGGGAAGGAGCACCCAGGTCGAGTTAGAGGCATGGGTTTTGGGGTGGTCCCAAGCCAAATCCGTAGAACATCTACCAGTTCAGCCTCAACTTCTTGTAGTGGTCCTACACAAGCTGAGTATGATGCCCTGAAAGGAGAATTGGACACTATAAAAGGCAAGATGGCTGAGTTTGATACATTGAAATCGCAAATGGCACATTTTATGCAAAATTTTGTTGGCCACTCACCATCTAATCAGGTATATGGCAGTTTTTCTGTAAATTGCATATTCAGTTTGACTATATTTTTTTTTCCTTTGTAAAATTTGTGCTATTAGTGCAAAGCATTTCAGGTTGTGGTGTGGCACCATTGTCCTTTGGCTATTCTGATATTGTTTTCATTCTTCAGATATTTATCATTTATTGAACTTGAATCGACATTGTGCTTAAAGTTTGGTAGATATATATATATATATATATATATATATATATATATATATATATATATATATATATATATATATATATGGTAGGCTTTTCTGCGAATTGCACCTTCAGATTCACTATTTTTTTGTTTCCTTTGTTACCTCTGTGGTACTAGTGCAAAACATGAAGGTTGTGATGTGGTATTAATTATCTTTGGCTATTCTGATATTTTTTTCATTCTTGATATATTTATCATTTATTGAACTCGGATTGACAGTGTGCTTAAAGTTTGATACTGTTCCAAGTTGAAAAAACTGGAAATATGGTTGTTGACTGTTCCAACTTGAAAAAACTGGAAATATATATATGGTTGGTGACTGTTCCAACTTGAAAAAACTATTCTATATATGGCTGCACTGCCAATATTGTTATTTTTATTGGAAGATGAATTACAATTGTTTTTTTGGTAAAATCTAAGTTTCCATTGTACTTGATATATGTCACCACACCTGCTATATATGTACTCCACTGTTGGCCTTGTAGTGTTGTGACATTATATAGTCTGAACTTCATAGATGCTGATTCCTTCAGTTTGCATAAAAAAATTAGGAATGGATTATATGGTTGCTGGGATACATATTTAGTTTGTATGGATTATATGGTTACTGGGATAAAGATTCAGTTCTGTTGGATTATTAGTGTGTATGGATTATATGGTTGCTCAGTTGCACTCTCTAACCTTGTTAAGTAATTCGTTATTGTTCTGTTCTACCTACTTATGGTCAGTTACTGCTTATGTCACTGATACATTTACCTAGAGCTGTTACCTCAAGTGTATATACTCCAGTTTTGTCAATAATAGAAATCTGATTAATTCTCAACCTCATTTTGCTTTATATTTTTTTTGCGTTTTCTTAACCTTTTTCTTAAAATTAACTTATGGATTAATATATGTTTTCTTTTTTCCTAATATATCAGGTTGTTGACTTGGGCTCTCCTGGAATCAGAAAGTCCTCCCATGCTAGTCATGACCCTTCTGATGGGCCAACTATATCAAATCAAGCACCCCAACCACCACAATCCTAATTTCACATGATTTGGTAGGTGTTCATTGAACCACTGTATTTTGGATATTTCAGTGGTTGTACATGGAATTTGGTCGTTTTGGAGTTTAACATTGTTGGTTGAATTCCAATGTTTTTCAAGTTAGGCAGTACCTGGATCTTTTTTTTTTTGATGTAATTGATGACCTTGGTACGTTCTACATGCAACCAGCTTGGTCTGTTTTGCTTTTGTATGTTAATTAAGCTTTGGTCAATATGTATGTCACTGTTTCCAAACTTAAAGAATGAATGATGTTTACTTTTTTGCATAAATATCCTCGATCCATGCATGAATGTTTATAAAGCCTTGATTAAAATAATACTATACTTTTTTGACAGGTTATCTATTTTGGTTTTGAATATTAACCTTTGGTAAATATGTTTCGGAATTTAAAGATTGGAGAATGTTTCTAATGTTTTTGGGGTTATGCCCTCCTTACCTAACAAAAAACTGTTTACTTTTTTCTTTACTATTCTAATGCATCAATGTTTATAAACCTCTGATTAAAATAATAGGGGATTTTTTATTAAAACAAAATAATAATTCAAATTAATTTTAAGCTTTTTTAAAAATATTAAAAAGTTTAATATTGGCGGTTATAAAGACCATCCGCGAACTCCAACACGAGGCGGTTCACCCACCGCCAGAAATTATTTCACATTTTTCCGTAAACTATGCTGACCGAGTGACAAGTCACGTTGAACGTTGCTGTACGGAAATAGCAGGCGGTTAGCCTAAACGCCATAATTTTTTGCCGACTACATAAACCGCCCTCATAAGCGTCGAAATATTGACATCTTTGGCGGTTAGTCTTACCGCCTGCAGCTGAGAATTTCATCATTTTTGGAATATCCTACGACGACCTTACCCGACGAAAGAACCGCCCTTGTTATACTGTGGCAGCTGTTCCAGCGGTTTTTCTAAACCGCCTGAGAATGACGTCTCGACCGTGGTAACAAAGGCGAATTGTCAACCGCCAAATGAGTTAAATGCAGGCGGTTTTGACCGCCTCTGGTAGACAAAACAACCGCCTTCATTTGCACAGTTTGTTGTAGTGTGTGTAAGCTCTCAGCATATCCTCAAGTATCTGTATGGTCCTCTGAGTCTGACCATCAGTCTGCAGATGATACGCAGTGCTCAGCCTGAGCTGAGTGCCAAAAGCCAGCTGCAAGGGTCCCCAAAAGCGAGAAGTAAATTTCGAGTCCCGATCACTAACAATGCTAATCGGTATCCCGTGGAGCCTTACAATCTCTTTCACATACAATTTTGCTAATTTCTCCATAGAGAAGTCCACTCGCACTGGCAGAAAATGTGCAGACTTTGTAAGCCTGTCCACTATAACCCAAATTGAATCATACCCAGCCTGAGTCTGAGGCAAACCAACAACGAAATCGATAGAGATGCTCTCCCATTTTCACTCTGGTATATCCAATGGCTGAAGTAAACCAGCAGGTTTTTGATGTTCTATCTTGACTTTTTGACAAATTAAGCACCTTGACACATACTCAGCAACATCCCTCTTCATCCCAGGCCACCAGAACTTAGCCTTCAGATCTTGATACATTTTTGTGGCACCTGGGTAGACAACATACTGACCCTTATGGGCCTCAGTCATTACCTCATCTGCTAACTCCTTGGGCACAACAATCCTGCCCTGATACAATAATAACCCTTGTTCATTCAAAGATATCCCATACTACCCTTTCAAATACTTGACACTGTCGTTCCGTACCTGCGTTTCTTTAATTTTGTCATGTAATTCATTTTCCACCCGTAAACACTCAAATTCATCCATCCTGCCTACAAAGTCATCCGTCAATTTCAAATCACGAAATTGTTCAATCACCTCATTATCCCACAACATCAGCTGAGACACACTAACAGACTTCCTGCTTAAGGCATCAGCCACCACATTAGCTTTACCTGGATGGTATCTCAATTCAAAATCACAATCCTTCAAGAATTCCACCCATCTCCGCTGTCTTATATTTAGCTCTTTCTGATCAAACAAATATTTCAAACTCTTGTGATCACTGAATACAGCAAATTTCATCCCATACAGAAAATGCCTCCAGATTTTCAAGGCAAATACAATAGCAGCAAGCTCCAAATCGTGCGTCGAGTAATTCTCTTCATGAGGCTTCAAATGTCTAGAAGCGTAAGCAACCACTCTCCTCTCTTGCATCAACACACACCCCAAACCTTTCTTGGAAGCATCACAATATAATTCAAACTCACCTTCCGGATCGGGGAGGGTTAACACATGAGCAGTAGTCAATTTCTCTTTAAGGTTTAGAAAACACCTCTCGCATTCTTGGGTCCACACAAAAGGAGTATCCTTTCGTGTCAATCGGTTCAACGGTAGTACCATTGTGGAAAACCCCTTAATAAATCTTTGATAATATCCAGCAAGACCCAGAAAGCTCAGGATCTCAGTAACAGTCTTCGATCGTTCCCAGTCAATTACCGCATCAATTTTATTCGGATCCACAGCAACACCCCTAGCAGAGATAACATGACCCAGAAATTGCACCCTAGATAACCAGAATTCACATTTAGACGGTTTCGCATACAACTTTTTATCCTTTAATATCTGCAACACAGTCCTCAGATGCTACGTATGCTCCTCCTCACTCTTAGAATAGATCAAAATGTCATCAATGAACACAATTACAAACTGGTCCAAATACGGTTTAAAGATGCGATTAATATAATCCATGAACACCGCCGGGGCATTTGTAAGCCCAAAAGGAATCACCTGATACTCGTAGTGTCCGTATCTAGAACGAAATGTCGTTTTAGGAACATCCTCCGGTTTAATCCGAATCTGATGGTATCCGGACCAGAGATCAATCTTAGAAAACACACAGGCACCCCTCAGCTGATCCAACAAGTCATCAATACGCGGCAATGGGTACCTGTTCTTAACCGTAACCTTACTCAATTGTCGATAATCAGTACACAACCTCATGCTTCCATCCTTCTTTTTCACAAATATTACAGGTGCTCCCCACGGAGACACACTCGGTCTGATAAAATCCTTCGCAGATAGCTCATCAATATGCTTCTTCAACTCAACCAACTCCAGCAGCGACATCCGGTATGGAGCCAAAGAAATAGGCCCTACACCAGGTAACAATTCAATCGAGAACTCAATCTCTCTCTCAGGTGGAAATTCCAGTATCTCATCAGGGAATGCATCCACAAACTCATTAACCACCGGAATAGTAGAAATATCAATCTCTTTACCACCCACCAATCCACCCAAGAAAATATAATCCTGATCCCCAGCCTTCAAGGCTTTAACAGCTTGACACACAGACAGAAAGGGAGACGGAGTAACCGAGGGATTCTTGTGAGATAAAATCAACCTCTTGCCGCAGCAATCAATCATTGCGCAGTTTTGAGATAGCAAATCCATTCCCAATATCAAATTAACAGAGGCCAGTGGCAAGATAATCAAATCAATAGTGTAACCCCTGCCTTCGTAAATAAATCCAACCTTTTTACAAATAAAGGAGGAATCACTAACCTCTCCTGTAGCCGTTGTAATACGCATAGGGGGAATCATCTGTGATACTCTTAACCCCCAACCCCTTAGCAACATATTCTGCCACGAACAAATGCGTAGCTCCCGAATCAAACAACACAGACAAATCAATATTTGAGATAAAAACATTTGAGATAACAACACATAACCCCCAACCCCTGTCTTCTCTGTTTACTGCATACTTGTAGTATAAACACGCCCAACTGTAGGAGCAGATGGCAAGGCCTGCAGATTCGCAGCCTGCCCAGTATTACTGTAACAATTGTTGGCATAATGCCCAACTTTACCACATTTAAAAGAAGCATTTGGAGTCGTAGTACAAGGGCCCTGATGAAACCTCTTACACTTATCACATCGAGGATTAGAATTCCTGTCATTAAATCTGCTCCTCTGACCACCACCCCTCTTGAACTGACCCGGAGGCTGCCTTACCTGCAACCCCCTACCTCTATTATTATTCTGATGGTAGCCACCTCTGTTATTATTACCAGGAGGACCAGATGTCCTCGAAGAGCTAGACTTTGGATACCTGCTATAAACACTTTCAACCCTTTTGCACTGGGTGACTAAGTCAGCAAAATTTCTTACTGCAGTATTAGACATTCTTTTTGCAATCTTCTTACTCAGGCCCCTCTGAAATTTAGCAGATAAGAACTCAGGAGTCGGCAGCATACCCTCATAATTTGCAAACTTCACCAATTCATTAAATTTAGGCACATAAGCATCAACAGTCATGGTACCCTGTACCAATTTCTCAAACTCACCCTGTTTAGCTTCCCGAACATCCCTGGGAAAATACTCTTCATGAAACAATCGCTCAAACAAAGCCCATGTCAGTTCTTCCCCCTGAATAATAAAAGGGCGAGATGCATTGTACCACCACTCGTGGGCATCCCCCTCAAGCATGTAGACAGAATACAATAATCTCTGGGGATCCTGACACCCTATAACCTGGAATATTTTCTCCATACCCATCAACCAGGTAGTCACAACCTTCGGGTCCCTTGACCCCTGAAATGCTAGTGGTTTATGCTTTCTGAAAAAAATGATCCTCTGCTCATCAGTACCAACAAATACTTGCCCAGCAACCCCAGACGACTGAGCAACAACAGAAGGATCCACAGAAGGCTATGGGATATAAGTAGGATCAGTAGTGTGGTGACTAGCCTCACCAGACTGACGACTAGCACCACTCCCCTCCTGGCGAGGTGTAACAGATGGCGTACGGGTATAAGTCTCTGTAGCCGTATGTGGGGAGAATCATCCCTCCTATTCCGAGCTCTATCGGCCCTCATCTCATTTATGAAGGCGTGCATCATATCTTGATTATTTTTCATCAGGGTCTCGGTCATATTTCTATTCGCAGCAGTCTCTTCCTGCAAAGCATTCAGAACTGCAGTAATAGGATCTGGTGCTACTAGACAACCTGCAC